ATACCACAATCCTCAACTAAGACTCACCACACGAGACCTTAGCATAAACCAAACCGCCCTAAGGCTCATAAGCCGTTGAATGCTCTCTTAATCACCCCAAAAGTACCATAACTGAGATACCCACTGTGAAGAGATCTTCTGCGAATCAAAGCCATTACCTTCACCTTCCTGATACTGATATGTAGAAACCATAATGATATAAAAATGCCACAAGTCCTGACATCCTCCAATATGAATCTCAGTTTCTAGCCAAATACACATCCTGAAGATTCCCATTTGCCACGCTCAAATCTTGAATTCATTTGAACCATTCTCGAGAGTCTTCCACTCTGCTCAAATCTCAATTAGACTGGCCAAACGGACCGAACGACCGGTGCCCCATTATCACTCCAACACACAAGAAAGTAACTCCACCTTAATGCAACCAATATATTCCTGCTCCATACACATTACATCCTTCACCAATAACAACTCAAATCGTTCCGTGATTCTCATATAGTCATAAAGCTTACCCAGAATTTCCTTTACTCAAGTCATCCTCGATCTCACCCTCTGCAGAACATAACTCATTCACAAGTATACCTCAAATCGAAACCAATACAACACATAATCGTGAAATCAACTTATCAATAGCGGACTCCCCCACTTGGCTCAAAGCCATAGATCAAAATACACCATAACTCCCAATGCCCGTACTTTATTACAGCCATAATATCGCAGTGAGATTCAACTAAATCCTCCATAAGTTCACGCAACACAAACCATATAGTACCTCAAATCATTTGCAAATCCCGTATTCATCCTCGTAATACTCAAGCCCACCCTCATAAGCGATCTAAACTCAAATTGCAACACATATTTCAATGTTAAAAGAGAACTCCCAACAAACAATCATAGGGATCACACAAACCTCAGGATACCCCGCAGGAGATAGCCCACCTGATCTCTCTCTATACCCTTCAAAGGTCATAAATTGTAACGACCCGACCGATCTTTTTACTCTTTTGAACCCTGTTCCCCTAAATAAAGCCTCCCGTACTTGCTTTAAATAATTTATGACTTGCGGGGGCGACTGGTTCGGGATTTGGAAGAGTTTTGAGTAAAAATACGCTAATTTGCTTCTTTAGGATTTCCTTAAAAGACCAAGTTTGACTTCGGTCAACATTTTGGAAAAACCGGACCCATATTCGTGATTTGGCAATTTCTGAGGGTCCGTGGGAAAATATGGGACTTGGGCGTATGCCCGGAATCGAATTCCGAGGTCCCTAGCCCGAGTAATGAATTTTTATCTGAAATTATTTAATTGAAGCTTTAAAGAATTAAAGAAACTAAGAAATCATTGTTTCCCTAGGTATCGGGCTCGGATTTTGGTTCTGAAGCATGGTACAGGTCTGTAATGTCATTTAAGACTTGCCCGTAAATTTTGGTGTCAATCCGAGTAGTTTAAGGGTGTTTTGACTCGTTAGAGGAGAATTAAGAACTTAAGGATTCAATAGTTTGATTCATTTGGTTTTAGGGGGTGATTCTAAGATTTAGAGTTGTTTTGGGAGTTCCGAGGGTTCGAGTAGGTCCGCCTCGTGGTTTCGGACTTGTCGGTATGTTCGGGCGGGGCACGGGAGCCCCGAGCGTCAAACGAGCGAGGCTCGAGTGAAGTTAAAAGTGAGAAAAAGTGATGAGTCTGCTGCTTCTGTCATAACTGCATCTGCGGTTCTAGGACTGCAGAAGCGGTACCGCAGATGCGGTCAGGAATCCGCAGAAGCGGTCAGGGCAGCCCAGGCAAAATCGCAGATGCGATCTTGAGACCGCAGAAGCGGCCCCGCTTAAGCGGCTATCTGACCGCAGAAGCGGTCCAGCCAATTTGGCCAAGACCACAGAAGCAGCCCAAAACCGCAGAAGCGGTTCCCGCAGAAGCGGTAAATGCTCCGCAGAAGCGGAAATAGCGGGGAGCAGAACCTTCATTAATACGAACTCAAACCTCATTTTATCATTTTTCACTCTACACTTAGGCGATTTGGGTGCTTCCAAAGAGAGGGTTTCAACACAACTTTGTAAGGTAAGTAATTCCCCTTCATCTTTAGCTTAAACACACGTATATTAGGTAGATTAAACACTAAAAACTAAGTAAAAATCAAGGGTTAGGGCTAGACCTAGGGCTTTAATAAAACTAAGATTTAATCATGTAATTTGCCACGTAATGAACTAGAAATCATATATTAGTGATCCTTAGGTTATGGAGAGCAATTTCCTTCGAAAAATCTCGGAATCCGGGCACGTGGGCCCGGGGTCGGAATTTAGGAAACTTGTAAAAAGGGTTGGTAAATGGCTTAAATAGCTAGGATTCGATCTTGTAAACTTATATTGGCTAGTTCTTATTTCCTTTAACTAGTTTGTGAACGTTTGGCTCCGAAATGAGGGTTTAGGCTTGTTCTTGATATTGGAAGTGCGCTTCGGAGCGAGGTGAGTCTCCTTTCTAACCTTGTAAGAGGGAAATGTCCCCATAGGTATAATAATTGAATTAGTTGTCCTTGTATGCGGGGGCTACATACGCACTAGGTGACGAGAGTCCGTGCGTAGCAACTATTATGCCAAGTCCAGGTAGTTTAGGACCCATGAGCATGATTTACGTGATTTTCTAGTATAATTGACTATCTTGAATTTATATGAACTCGTGTGACTAAGAAGAAAGGATTGGAAAATGACCTTAATCCATTGTCTCTTTAAAAGGAAATAATTGGCACTTCTTTGTATAGCCACCCTCATATGCGTATTGATTGTTGTTGTTGCTCGATCATGAGCTTGTTTATATTTGACAGCGTCGCACAGGTGATTCGCGAGCGGGGTGATAGATACATTTATGGTTCGAGCCATTCGACCCTCGGCAGTGCACAATTTACTATTTTTATGTTGGATCGGGCCGTACGTTCCTCGGTGGTTATGTGTGTATGATTTATAAGACACATTATTGTGATTTAGGCCTCATATTTGCTTTCATGTATATAGGGATACTAGTAATGATAACCTTAAGAAGGAATCCATGTTTTTGCACTTGTAAATTCTTATAATCTGAGTTATTGCTGTTTGTTGTAAATTCTCCTTATTTTATTCGGCCTTAGTAAGTATCAAGTCGACCTCTCGTCTCTACTTCTTCGAGATTAGACGGGATACTTCCTGGGTACATGTTGTTTATGTACTCATGCTATGCTTCTGTACTTAAATGTACAGGGTTAGAGGCAGGTGGATCTGGTTACCACTCTGGTGCGCATTAGCGGGCGGACTTGGGACTTCTACGGTGAGCTGCCTTCCTTCCATGTCGATCCGCAGCCGAAGAAGTCTTCTTTTGTATTTATTATTTTCTATCTATTTGGATCCAGACAGTAGGATAGTGTGATATTCTTTTGGGATGTATATTCTACTAGTTGCCCGTAGCTTGTGACACCAGGTTCTGGCACACACACTTGGTAGACGATTATTTTGGGTGTGTAATTACGTTATTACAGTTTTCGGCTCTTCTGATTTTAAAATTCCAAATTGAGCGTTTATTTCACATATCCTAATTAAGGGCATCATAAGTGTTTTCGAAATATTTCCGCAGTTGGCTTGCCTGACAAGGGTGTCAGGCGCCCTCATGACCTATTGTGAAAATGGGTCACGACAACATTGTATCAGAGCACTAGGTTCACGTAGGTCTCACGAGTTATGGGCAAACCTGATAGAGTCTTGTTGATCGGTACGGAGACGTCTGTATTTATCTTCGAGAGGCTATAGGGTATTAGGAAAGACTACTCTTTATTCATTTCCTGTCGTGCAGTGCTTAGAGTACTAAATTTCCCTCTTCTATTCTCTCACAGATGGTGAGGACTCGTACCGCCGACGTTCCGGACCCGGGAGGAGCTGCTCCCCCCGTTGCTAGAGGCCGAGGTAGAGGCCGGGGGAGGGCACCGACCCGTGGTAGGGGGCGAGGGCGTCCTAGAGCCGTTCCAGTTGCACCACCGCCAGATCCTATTATTTAGGAGCAGGGCGAGGTGCCCGCAGCTGAGCCTACCCCGGCGAATTTCATGACAGCACCGGGATTTCAGGAGGTCATGGGCCGCATGCTACGGTTCATGGACACTATGACTCAGGCTGGTTTATTTCCAGCAGACCCGACTACTTCTCAGGCAGGAGGGGGAGCCCAGACCCCTACTGCTCAGGCTCCAGGCCATGCAGCTGCAGTATATCAGACTCCGGGTGCACTACCCGTAGATGGGGCTCAGCCAGTTGCTGCAGTGGCACCCCAGCCCAGGCCAGTTGTGGATGACGACCCACATAAGTTATTGGACAGATGGACCAGGCTTCACCCCCCAGTCTTCGGGGGTGAGCATCACGAGGATGCCCAGGACTTCATAGACAGGTCCAGGGACGGGCTGCACAACATGAGGATATTAGAGACACATGGAGTTGACTTCACTACCTTTCAGCTTGAGGGTAGGGCGCGTAGATGGTGGCAGTCCTATGTACTTGGCAGGCCAGCCGGTTCTCCTCCCCTCACCTGGGATCAGTTCACTCAGTTATTCCTGGATCGGTACATCCCTCCCTCTGAGAGGGAAGAGCTGCGGCATCAGTTCGAGCACCTAGAGCAGGGTCAGATGTTAGTGACCGACTATGAGGGGAGGTTCTCTGAGTTGTCTCGCCATGCACTTATGATACTTCCCGCAGAGGCAGAGAGAGTGCGGAGGTTTGTTGCGGGGTTACACCCCACCATCCGGTCTGGTATGGCTCAAGAGGTAGAGATGGGTACAGGGTACCAGCTAGTGGTTGAGATTGCTGGCAGGATTGAGGGTTATCGTTTGAGGGGTAAAGAGCAGATGCAGCAGGATAAGAGGGCTAGATTTTCAGGAGAGTTCAGAGGTGGCCCAGCCAGGGGTAGAGGCCACTTCGGGAGGGGTCAGCCCAGCAGGCCCTCACACTCAGCACCACCACCCCCTCCCCGAGGTGCCCCAGCGAGACCTTATTTTAGTGCGATGCCGGAGGGTTCTTACCGCCCACCAGCTACTCCGGGTTCCTCCGGCGGGTATTCTGGATACCAGGATTCTTCTAGTGCTCCTTTCAGCGCCACGCCAGAGATTTCCTATTGTCTGCCAGATATTCAGGGTTCTTCCAACGGGTATTCAGGTCAGCAGACTCAGACTCCAGGGCAGCAAGCTATGGTGCCTAGAGCATGCTACGAGTGTGGAGATCCGGGTCACCTGAAGAGGACTTGCCCCAGACTTCGGGGTAAGGCAGTACAGCAGGGCCAGCAGCCCCAGACTCTGGCACCAGTTGCCCCGCCACCTAGAGGTGGAGGCCAGACAGGGAGAGGTCAGCCAGCTACTTCCCAGATAGGTGGGGGCCAGGCCGCCGGCGCTCCGGCTAGATTCTATGCACTCCCGGCCAGGCCAGATGCATTGGCCTCAGACGCCGTCATCACAGGTATTATTTCAGTTGGTGGCAGAGGTGTTTCGGTACTATTTGATCCAGGGTCTACTTATTCATACGTATCGTCTTTGTTCGCTCGCTTTCTGGTTGTTTCTCCTGAGCCTTTGGGTATTCCTGTTCATGTGTCCACTCCTGTGGGTGATTCTGTGGTTGTGGATCGGATCTACCGGTCCTGTGTGGTCGCTTTCTGGTGGTCTCGAGACTGAGTG